GCACACTGAAGACAAGGTTAGGTTTTGTGGACCTCGGCGACCTGTGGCATTGATGGAAACCCTGGCTCTTTGTCATCCTTGTTGTTCGGTGCCATTCAACAGACTCATGTACAACAGAATGAACGACTGCCCGGTCCTGGGCCAGCTTCACCACTGTTATATCCCCAAACCGTGTGTTCTGATCTCATTCCCTGGGGACAGTTAGATATGACTTCTTCATCCAAATAGTTTAATGAGGACTCAGAGACAAACATCTATTCCATTTGTTACATACCCTATTATCTGTTTGAGATTGAGCGATTCTATGCTGCTAATTACCAATCCCCCCACAACTCATTTATTTCTCCCTCTTCGGATCCTAGGCAGTGAATCAGGCTAATACATCATGGTCGGGGATAACCAGGGCTTCACAAAGTAAGAAAGTTTGATTTACACCACTTAATTCAAATCCTTCCATTCAATCCCTAACAAACATATGAAAAAGAAGCAGAAATGTCACTGGCATTTAATACAAATACTACGGGTGACAAGGTCAGGGGCAGAAAGTTTCCAATCAGTGCTTTTAATTGACTCTCAATTATCTCAAAACAGTGTGCGCATATTCTTTTTTTTTTTTAACATTTTATTAGGGGCTCATACAACTGTTATCGCAATCCATACACACATCAATTGTGTAAAGCGCATTTGTACATCATTCTCAAAACATTTTCTCTCCACTTAAACCCCCGGCATTAGGTCCTCATTTTCCCCCTCCCTCCCCGCTCCCCCCTCCCTCATGAGCCCTTGATAGTTTATAAATTGGTATTTTGTCATATCTTGCCCTGAGTGTGCGCATATTCAATGACATTTATTTTCCACATTCTTTTATTATTGCCCAGCCTTTTGAAGAAGTAATTGATCATTGACACAATACAAAAGCAAGCAGAACAAATTAATAATGATAATTCACATAGTCATTTTGGTATTTAACAGTCCTGGGGACAAACGTCCAGGGCAAAGTCCTCTTTTGGACTAGACTAGGACAAGACTAGGACTTGCTAGGACTAAGTTCCTTAAGGAATACTATATTATATTAATTATATTACATTACATTATATCCCCAGTAGTCAGCCTTGCAAGCAGCAGGTGCTCAGTTAATGTTTTAATTGATTCTAATGAATGAATGAACAAACAAATGGCTAGATCATTGCTTGAGAATGAAACATTTGTACTTCAGATTTGCATCTGTCATTTAAAAATGTAGCACATTTCCTGCTTCCGTAGCCATTGCCTGTCCTTGTGTATATTACAAAACGATTTAATTCAGTAAATAATTATTTTGTACACTATAGCCAGGGCTATGATAGCTATGTTAGTGGGTAAGACTCAGCTTTTGTCTTTCAGAAGCTCGTAACCTAAGTGCAGATTAAAAATGTAGGAGACATTCAAACAGTAGTGTATTGCTTTGGTGGATGAAAGGGAAAACGAGGGGGGGAGCAAGAGAGTGAACCCATAAGTAACCAGGACCTGCATAATTGACAGTGATACAAGAGAAGGTGAGAGAAGTAGAGCAAGAGTGTGGCAGGTTTAGAACTCACCTGGGAGAATCTGAGGAGCTGTCTAAAGGGACTTTTGAGAAAATAAAGCCTTTGAGAAAACTCCTTAAATTGAGTCAAGGTATAGAAGTGGGAGACCAAAAGACATGTTTAAACAATGGACAGGTCACTGTGGTGGCACCTGGGCCATTTGTCATGGAATTTTGGAGGTAAGAAAACAGCTATCGGTTTGTGAATGTCTATTGCGTGCCAGAGGAGCCCAGGTGGCAGAGTTGGCTACACGTTGGACTGCTAACAACAAGGTCAGCAGTTCAAACCCACCAGTCATTCCATGGAGAAAAGACGAGGCTTTCTGCTCTTAGAAAGATTGAAAGCCTCGGAAACCCCAAAGGACAGTTCTACTCTGTCTTATAGGATGACTGAGTTGGAATGGACTTGGTGGCAGTGGGTTTTGTGTTTCGGTTGGTATTGTGTGCCAGTCACTATACAAACACTTCTCATCATGTATTTATATCTTATAATCGTCACTACTCTCTCCTGAGGTAATCTGAGGGAACTGTAGTTTCTTGAGGTGCAGTGCCTTTGAGCCACACCGCTCAAAGTAACAGTGTTGAGATTTGAAACCAGAGCACTTGACTGCTAACCAAAAGGCTGGCAGTCCAAGTCCACAGCTGGCAGAGTCTCCTTTAGATACACATTCAGCCAGTGACTCGCCTGTGGAACACATCCTCCTCTGCCGTGCAGGGCATCACCAGCAGTCAGAGCAGACCGCCTGACAACTGGTCCTGGGACTAGAACTGTGCCTGATTCTGGATGGAAAAGGGGAATCCTTTGTGGAAGGTATCAGATGCCAGAGCAGGAAACTTATATTTAATTTGATAGGGGATGAGGATACAATGTTTAAAAAACCCTCTGCAAGGCTTATCTTTATGAGAACAGACAGTCTAATTTTTCTTCCAAGAATGTATATTGTTTCAAATAGCTCCTTAAAAGGTGAATTTCCAATGAAGTTTTATTATTTTAATGTTGCAAATAATAATATTGTAATGCTATTTGGGTCACTGGTGAATTTGCGGTTTCTTAAAAAAAACGTTTTATTGTGATTTGAGTGAAAGTTTACAGAACTTGGTTTCCTTTCAACAATTCATGTGCATTTCGATTTATAACATTGACTGCAACCGCTACACTGTAACAACACTCTTCCTCTTTCCTCCCATGTTGGCTACTCCCGTTAGCTCTTTCTTATCCCTTCCTGCCTTCCGAGCTGTCTTCTTGGGTGAATGCGGTCTGATCTCACCTGGCTGGTTGTGCTAAGGAGTGTGTACCCCCTGGTGTTACTGGTCAGCCTGTCTGTGGGTTAGCGGAGGCTGTAAGTCAGTTCCGGGCCGGAAAGCTGTCTAATGGCTGTAGCCTCTGGAGTGCCACCAGTCTCTTTCATACCAGTAAGGCTGGTCCTTTGTGATTTTTTGTTTGTTTGAATTAATAGTAATTTTAATGATGATACATCTTTTCAGAAGGAAAATTTTAGCAATTAAAAATTTGTTGTGAAGAAATATGCTAGAGTGATCGCTCAGTTGAAAGGCTTCTAGGCATAAAAATCTAGTTCAATAAGATAAAATGAAGTGAACTGATGAATTTAAAAAAAGAAAGAAAGAAAGAAAGATGTCGGAGCCCCAATCTTTTTACTCTTCATAACTTTTTAAAACTGGGTGGTGGTGAATGCTACATCAGTGATAGCTTAGGTTCTGCTGAATCCATTTTAAAAGTGTGGTGGCCGTTCTGTTTCACAGGCACTCTGAGTCAGAGGGGTTGTGATGAGTCAAAATCAACCCCACGGCAGGATGAGTCAGATGGCAATTGGTTTTTGGTTTAGCATTCCATGCTTTGCAACAAAATAAACTACATATATATATATGAAAGGGGAAGGAATTTCCTTAAGGTTATTCAAAATTCCTTTAGAGTGCAAACCTTTAAAGTAATTTGAAAGCTATGAATTTAGACTGCTTGGGGCTGCCTAAATCTAGCTCATCACGCCCAAGCTATATAATACTAACAATAATTAGCATTTATTATTTATGTAAGTAGCATAACATGTTATGTTCTGGACACTCTTCTTCATCCATCATGTGAATTAAATCACTTAACCGCCTAATGTACTTCTGTGAGGTATGTTCCCTCATAACTTACTGTTTACAGGAGTAAGCTAATGTGCTGGAGCATAGATGACTTGCCCCAAGTCACCCAGCAATAAATGGAAGAGACAGGATTCAAGCCCCATGAGTCTGGGACCAGTACTCTAATTTGTAGCCTCTTTAGTTCTGTCTACAGTGCCCTTCTGGCCCAGGGGGTTAAACTTTGGGCTGCGGACAGAAAGATCAGCACTTCAAACCCACTGGCCACTCCACAAAAGAAAGCAGAAACATGGATTTCAGAAGATTTATGAAATTCTTATGGAGCAGTCTTGTCCTATCAGTTGCTATGAGCCGGGAATCCACTCAAGAACAGCGGGTTACAATTTTCCCGTTTATGATTCTATCTCGGTAAAGGGTAGCCCTCTTGCCGCTCCGTCACAAACGGGTTGAGGTCCCTGTTCATGGTCTGGCTCCAGAGCGACAGGCCCTGAACTCTGGTCGAGCACACCAGGTGGCACTTTCTCTTTGCCAGGGGGCTGTCCCAGGCCCGTGCTGGACACCCTTTCTGATCAGCCAATACTCAGTGGCATGGACTTCTGTGGCTGTGTCAGTCGTTCAAATATACCCTCCTTCCATCACAGCACGAGCCCACAACTGTCAGCTCAACTCTGATTTGGAGTGACCTAAGCTCAGCCCACAACGGCCGGATAAGTGCGCCAAGTCTGGGAGCATACAGAAGCCGACCGCCGCCCCTTTCCCCAAGGAGCACATCAGTTGGTGTTGTGTGCTTAGACTCTCGCGAGGGTTCCTCAGCAGTCACTAGTGGATGTCTTTCTTGCTGCCTCGGTTACTCAGGCTCTTCCTGCAGCCTCCTGTCCCCCGAAACCTCCCCATGATTAAAAAAAAAAAAAAAGATTAAAATGTTGACATAGCTAGGGCCCTCTAAGATTCAACTCCTAAACTTTGCCTGGGTCTGTTCTGATTCTTTGGGACCCATTGTTTTATCAGCTATTTGAAGTGTCTCCCCTGATCCATTAATTTCTAAATGCACTCCTCCACCTCATCCTGTCAACCTCTTCTGGGAAAAGTCACGGGAAATCAATTACCACTGTTCAGGCTTACCATGTGGCATGGTCTCAGGCAACATAGAAGAGGGGAAAAAATAAAAATAAATACTCACTGCCACCCCATGGACATAGCACTTAAAGTAGGTTTTGGAGAACAATTTTTCTCTCTAGTTTGGAGACCATTCCCAAGGGGAACTGTGAAGTCACGCTTGTTGCCGATTGGTTCAAAGTCAACCCTAAGATGCTTCTATTTCTTTCCTTCCCAGCTGTGTCCATCAGCCTTGTGGGGAGCAGGGCAGCTGTGCACCATTGCTGCTTGATCACACAGATGTGGTGAATTGTACCTCTGGTGACCCAGGTCACATGACATGTGCTGTCACCTGTGAACGTGGGTTTGTCCTCCAGGCCAGCAGCGGACCATACCTCAGGCCCATGCAGGTGAGCCGGGTCCATGATCATTAGGAATACATTCCTGGTCAAGGAGTTAACTTGATTGGGGGTGGACAGGTATGTTTACATGATTTCAAAGGGAAGATAAGGACTCTAGTCAATAAGGACCAGGAGGCTGCCTTGCAATGCAGGGTGTATAGGGGCTTGTGCAATTCTGAACATCTAGGAAAAGATGTACTCCATTCTTCTTATTTTGTCTTCCTATCAGAAATTATGTTCCCCACTTTTGCATCCAGAAGAGAAGGCCACAGTGTAGATTTTCTGGGGAGAGAAGTTGTAATCGGCATGTCTGTGGTTCACTACCCAGTCCCCCAAGTCCTTTAACAGGAAGGCTGGGAAGGAAACTTTGATTTTCTCCCTCAGAGTCTGCAATCCCTTACTAATGTGGGCATTCTATCTAATGTTGATACAAATTCCAAAATTTCTACTAGCTACACGACTTTAAAGGTGATTGAGAGATTGAAGAATGGACTGAACAAAGAAGATAGATTCGGAACACAGACCTGCAATGAAATTCTGGCTCCGTTGCAGTCTGGATGTGTAACTTCAAAGCAAAGCAAAACAAAATGAACTCATTAAGCTCATTTCCACTTTGGTAAAAGTGATTAAAACCGGCACATTTGTTTCACTGAGATATGATGATGACTAATGGGGGGAAGTTTCCAGTAAAATGATAGGTACATAGCCCTCTAAACGCTTAGCTTGTCTTTTTTATGAGCAGGATATTGGATTCCCAAATAAGAATTTCATTTTCCAGCTTTCTTTTAAAGAGCTCACAATATTCTAGTGAGGAATTTTAAACTCAAGTCAACACCTAGAAAACAGCATCACAGGCTGAGAGAAAGGACACAGGAGGTAACATGCAATGGTGCGTGAGGTGAGGATCACAAAGATTGGTATCACGAGGAAAGAGTGGGTGGAAGCATTTGTGGTTAAGCAGCTCTCAGTCATTTAAAACATAGGTTCTCAGATCACAAGGATCTACCTACAAACACCTCCCTGGGGGACGGATCACAGAAAAGTGGGTGAAGGGAGGCATCGGTCAGTGTAAGACATTAAAAATATATAGCAATTCATAAATTATCAAGGGCTCATGAGGGAGGGAAGGAGGGAGGGTGGAGGATGGAGACGGGGAAAATGAGGAGCCGATACCAAGGACTCAAGGTGAAAACAAATGTTTTGAGAATGATGATGGCAACAAATGTACAAATGTGCTTGACACAATGGATGGATGGATGGATTGTGATAAGAGCTGTATGTGCCCCCAATAAAATGATTAAAAACAAAACAAAACATATGTTCCCAAACTGTTTTGCCTACCATTCCCTTTTAAGAAAACAAACAAATAAAACCCCTCAATGCATACTCACCCCAAATCCTACAGTTAAAAACTTGTATACAAAAGCCCGCAATCCAGGATAAAGTGTGGGTATCTGCTTTTACAGCTCCCTCCCAGCAGCCCCAGGGGGCAGTATCACTCACATTAGGAAACACTGGTTTGGAAGATTGCGATTCTCTTTCATTTTGTACAAATTAACTTCTTTACAGGTTATAAAACCATGAGAGAATTTCACTTGCTTAGAGATGGTCAGAATTTAATGATTTTTTTCCCCCTTTCCTTTTCTTTTTCTTTTAATTATGGTAACTATGTATGTTACAAAACATTGGCCATTTCAACATTTTTCACCAGTACAACTCCGTGTTGCTAATTGTGTTCATCATGTGGTGCTACAATCACTATTATCCATCTATAATATTTGACAACATCTTTCACAGAAGGAAAGCTCGATGTTAAAGACAAAACCATTGGTTTCAGGTTATCTAGAGAGAAACCATTACTATCAGTCTAGCGGCACCAGCTTCTTGCTCTCATGATAATCTCACTGACATGGAGTCCAATCCACGGGGGTTCTGAAATTATTAACTCTTTACAGGATTTGGAAGTTTGTCTTGCTCCTCAGGGATGGCTGCTGGTTTCGAACTACTAACCTTGAGGTTAGCAGCCCAACTTAAAACTATTACACCACCAGGGCTCATTCAGTCTAATGATGGTCAGAAAGAAAAGAGGTAGGGACTGAATCCACAGATTGGACAGAGGTAGAAATTGGAGTCACAGAAAGAGTTAAAAATGGGGAGCGAAGGAAAGATGCCATTCGCGAGGCATTTACATTAGGGGCAAACTCTTGACAAAACACACCATACTTAATGAAGCAAGGCCACAATCCAGCCATTTATGCAGAGTCTGAGAGGCATTCTCTCAATGCTGAGAGGGTCCTTGTGGTGTGAGCTGGGCGCCCAGGCTGTGATGGGTACATGAGGGGTGGGATCTGGATTGTGAGGAGTCCCTCTCGTTGCCAGCCGTCTGGTGGGATCAGCTGACTGCCCCTGCCTGTCACCTGTGACGGGCCCCACTAAGGAAATTATACAATCCTGACTCGTGATCACAAGACAGTGGGGATAATTGCATTTTGTTGACACAAGAACCAAAGCTAAACAGAAAAATGTGTCTGGCTGCAGTTGGGTCCCTCTGGCAGGCAACAGGGACACCTTGGGAAGCCTGGAGAAGCCGCTAGCCAAGAGTTGGTGTCAGGGGGAGACAGGTGTTTTCACCAGCCGCTTTACCTTTGGCTTTGGAGCCACTGTGGTCTCCTGGAGGGAAGGCTGGCTCAGCCGTAGCATCTTCCTTCTTGGTCCTTAGCCTTTGATAACCAAGTGGCAAGGCTTTTTCCCAAACAGGCTTACTGGTTAAGCCCCACTCATTCTCCTTTCTCTTGACCCCCACCATTTCCTCCTACCTCCCTCTGGCAGCTGGGAAGTCCTGGTCATCATTCCAAGGGCCTTTGTGGGGCGACCTGACCAGTAAAGCTTGCTGCAAATGCTCTACCTTCCTGCGCAAGGAGGGGCAGTGCCTCGTCCATCCTCATGGGTGCACCGCTGCTTTGCCCCAGCAGTAAATAGGATAATAGAGTGTTTGGATTTACTTTCTTTCTTCTTCTCCTCCTCCTCAGTTTTCTCCTTCTTTGATTTTAATGTTTGCGTTCTTGTTAGTGTATGCTCTCAAATCAGGGTGCAGTGAGCTAGAATCTGACTAATCACAGCCTATCTCTTGCCTCACTCCCTTTCCTGCCATCTGCTGCTGGGTGTCAGTCAGTCTTCCCTCAGACATTTCCCAAGCCCAGGTCTCAACATGCGTGTGGTAACGCTGATGGGGTCTCAGCTTCTTCAAGGCACCTGATCTTACCCACATCTAGTACAGGACATGGCCCTTCGTAAATGTTTATTCATTGGATCAATGGTTATGTACTCTAGAGCTAAGAGCCCTGGTGCCACAAGGGTTAAGCACTCAGCTGCTTACTCAAACGTCTGTGGTTCAAACCCACCAGGGGCTCTGAGGAAGAAAAACAGGGTGGTCTGTTCCCATAAAGACTGTAGATTCGAAAACCATCTAGGACAGTGGTGCTATGTCTCCCAGGTCACTATGAATCAGGATCTTCCTAACAATAACAACAGCAGCAGCTCCAGGGCCACCTTCATGGGAATGACAGGCTCAGGGGAGAATCAAATCCCTCCAAGGCTTGGGAAGGCCCATGCTTGCTTTAGCTCCCAGCAGTTCTTAGATACTGTACATCATTGCAGTGACAGTTCATTATTATTTTTCAGTAGCATCAGCAGGTGGCTTAGCAGAAAATAGAAGGCATGCTCAAAAGGGACTCATTTGAAGAGAATATAATAAAGGAGATATTTACAGAGGGATAAGTTGTGGCCTGGAGAGATCACAGAGAAATGGCGTACTCTCCTGGGGCAACAGGGTGGTCTGGGTAAGCACTGCTAGTCCTGACAGGAGGAGTGTGTGGAGCAGCGGGAGCAAGAGTTGCCGGCGGAGGATGGCCAACGATGTGGCCAATCGGCAGCCTCCTTTCAGGGAGACGAGCATCCAACCTCTCGACTCCACCATCACCAGTCTCCTGCTGGTGTACCCACGCTTGGACCCAAGCACAGGCAACAGTGTGATGTGCTCACAGGCCATCATTCCAGGTCCCAGAACAGGATGGGAGAAGCGACAGCAGATCTAGAGGACCAGATGGCCGGCACTCAACCAGGGGGCCTGAAGGAGTGTCTCCATTAGTGATTTTCTCACATTCTATCAGCGATAGACCTCAGCCTTGTTAGGCTGGGGGATCTGTAGGTGGTGAAAATGGTTAATGTGCTTGGTTGCCAACCAAAGAGTTAAAGGCTTGAGTTTATCCAGAGGCATGTCTGAAGAGAAGCTGGAAAAACAACCACTGAAGGCCACATGGTATGGCTATGATTCAGAATGGATCTAAAGGCAAATCGTTACTGTGAGACTATTAAAACAATGATGTATTAATCTGGGTAGACTAGAGAAACAAATCCATAGAAACTCCTATGTGTATAAGAGAGAGTTTTATATAAAGGGTAATTGTACTTTAAGAAACATCCCAACCCAGTCTAGTCCAAACCCATAAGTCTAATATTAGCCCATATGTCCAATGCCAATCTATAAAATCCCCTTCAGCCTAGAAAAACACATGCAATGACGCCGAATGCAGGACGATCACAGGCCAGTGGGTAGAAAGTCTTTGGATCCAGGGGCGTTTTAGGCATCTCAGCGCTGGCAGGGGTCTCCACGTGGCTTCTTCAGCTACTAGGGCTACCTCAGGGGAGGTCCATGTGGCTTCTCCTGAGGGATGTCTTGCAGGAAGTGAGCAGAGAGGGAAGTGTCTCCCGCCTCCAAGGAGGAAAATCAGGATTTCCCAAAATTCTCGGGAGAAGGCCAGGCACACACAGAGGCCCCATTGGCTATGATCTGATTGACAGGTCAGACTCCACTCCTTCACTGGTAATCCTCTCAAATTGACACTAGATTATGTAACTACCACAAAAGAGATGCAAGGAAAGAGGAAATCCTTTTACTTGATTGAAATATTTAGACAGATATTCTCAGGAACTCTGGTAAAGCCTATAAATGATCCAGATACGCCTTTCTATGTGACCTTGACAAAGGAACCTTCTCTGTTTCTAGAAGGAACTTCTGCTGACATGTTCCTCTGGGCACTGGGACTGGGCGGTGACCTGCATGCCCCTTGACTGCAGCATTCCAGACCAGTCTTTGGTGAACTACGCAGCCTTCTCCTGCTCAGAAGGGACGGGCTTTCTCAAGCGCTGCTCCATCTCCTGTGTCCCACCAGCCAAGCTTCAAGGTATTGTCTGGGCAACAGGAACTGTATGCAAGGGCTTTGAATTCCTTCCTGCTTTGGGTGCACTGATTGCTAATGTGATCAGGACATCTGTGTGAGCTAGCTGGACTCCAAGGTGCATAGGATCAATTAAAACACAGAAGGAAAGTCAGTGTTTTTTTCATTAATAAGGTCCTTCCAACTGCTATTTGGCATGCACATTTATTTAAACTTAATATGCATGAAATTTCTGAGTTAAGTATTGTTCATTCCATTTGGTAAATGAGAAAATGGTCTGCTCTGAATGACTTCACCACCTTTTTTGTCTTACTCCCCAAGAAATCTCAGACTTCCGTGTGTCTGCCAGTTACGCAAGAGACTTGTTACAGAGCAAATTCCTCATCCTTCACTCCAAGTGATTCCGAGGTAGCAAGTCTGTAGCTATGGGTAGGCCCCGGGTGGCTCTTTGAGGAAGCTTGCATTACACTTTACACTGAGGCATATTGTCTGATGGTTCAGCACAGAATTTGGATCTGAGTTTCCTTGGTTTAAACCTGACTCTGCTCCTTCCTAGCCTGGGCAAGTGACTTAACCCCAGTTTCCTCTTCTGAAAAATGAAGAATAAAAATATTTTCTATTCCAGAAGATTGTTTGAGGTTTGAAGTTTACAAAGTTTAAAATATGTAAAATGTTTTCAGCCTGTGTCTAGGCATATAATAAACACTGTCATCGTGCCATCTGCCATTTAGAATGTTTTCCATGATACTATCACTACTACATTTTTAGTACTGTGGGTAGGAAGGTAGGTAATGACTTGATTGGTAGCCCTTCTCTCAAAAACCAAATCAAGAAGTATTTACCCAACCTCCATTGGAATGGCACAACAATTAAGTGCTCAATCAAGACTGAGCAAAGTGTTGATGGTTTGAACTTCAGATACAGGTGCCTCAAAAGAAAGTATCCTAGCTGTCTGCTTCTAAAGGTCAAAGCCCTGTACACCCAATGCGCACAGTTGTATTTTGCACACAGGGCCTTCATGAGTCCGAATTCACTTGATGACAGCTGGCATGGTTTGTTGGTTTATGCTGCCTGTGAGACCACGTCAGATGTGCTCTAGGTGAAAAGGTATTGTGGTATAAACATTTGACCTGAGATTTTTGGATAAGCAGTCCAATAAAGAATAAGTGGCTTTCTGAGCATGCCAGCGTGTGGGCAGGTTTCCATTTTTCCCCCTTCTCTTATTGTTCTGTTGTTGTACAAATATTTTTGACCTCTCTGTTCTGAGAAGTCTGCACTTCTCTTTCCTGGAGCCAGGACTGAGCCCTTGGCTGACCTGTCTTGAAGATGGGCTCTGGTCCCTCCCGGAAGCCTACTGCAAGTTGGAGTGTGATGTGCCTCCGGTTATACCCAATGCCAACTTGCTCCTGCCTCACTGCCTCC